TGTTGGGTCATCAATCTGCCTTTTTGGCCTTTTGTAAAAACGTTATGGCTTCTACATGATCATGGACAGTTTTGTGTACGTAAGGTTCAAAATTCATAACCCCTGTCTCTTGACTTTCAATATTATTTATTTCATTACATAACCAGCTAGTTTTGAAGAATATAACAGCAGATATTTTTGAGTGGTTCTGTAATTTCGCCCGTAGAGGGCTCTATAGATAGAATGCTGAAATTTTGGGCCCAGACACGTGTTCTTTGGACGATTGTTTGTTTCTTGAATTTCGCCCAAAGATGGTCGAGGACAATTTGCTCTAGCTGTCCTTAGTTTTGACTAGAGGGAAGGTAACTAGTCAACACCACGCACCGCCAACTCTTGGACTTGTCTTTACCAACAAATGATTGAGAAGGTGAACATGTTCGATGACGGGATTCGATCCACGGATTGCGAGTCGAAAATTCTAACCGCCAGGCCTTTTCTTGACGATTTAATCGAATTTATGCTGGTCACAAAAATTTAATGCATACACAGTGGACCTACGCATTTCGGTCGATCAATGAATTGGTTGAAGTCGTGTGTATGTCTTTGCGATCTTTATGCTTAGAACGTAACTAATCAATTACTTCCACGAATTGATACAGACATAAAGAAATCCAAATTCATTGTAAGAACACAGTATTGCGTTTAACGAATGTAATTCATAAATTACTTGTCAAGCTAGTAGAAGATTTCCCTAGACTGTCAGGTAAGAGATGACGAACAAGAAAGGAAGCCTGGTGTTCTAATGGAATTGACTCTCGCAGTATCGACATTTCCCTCGTGTGAAATATCACAGAAGGAGCTCGTGCTTTCATCACCATTTAAAATAATCAAGGCTACAGTTTGTTGTTGTACCGTTCACATTACCGCTGGTGTTTGTTAAACTTATCCAAAGTTCTGTATAACAAAGGCCAACTTTGTAACTTTTGGAAAAGGAACTGTCTTGTTAAAAATACGTACCAATTTCTGTTTAAGTTATAGCTTATTGAGCATTATTTTATAACACGAGTTCAAATATATATATATATATATAGAGAGAGAGAGAGTCGATGATGGTCCTGTGTTTGTTTAACCCACTTGAAAAATGTGTTATTTGTAATGCTGAAAATATCCAAATCTAATACTTATCAAAAATTAATGAGATTAGAAATATTTGTGATCAAACAACTCGGGAACAATAAGATTTTGTTTCATGCAGATAAGCACTTATTTCTGATCATGAGATATACATTCCCCTTTCTTTCAGTTCTTCCTTGTACTGGTTCCATAAACCCTCGATATAATAGATAGTGATTCTTCTAATGTACTAGTATTGTTTGCAGAAGGCGGGACTAGACTGGTTCTATGAAGTGTTATTATCCAATGATTCTTCTAATGTACTAGTATTGTTTGCTGAAGGCGGGACTAGACTGGTTCTATGAACCGTTATTATCCAATGATTCTTCTAATGTACTAGTTTTGTTTGCAGAAGGCGGGGCTAGACTGGTTCTATGAACTGTTATTATCCAATGATTCTTCTAATGTACTAGTACTGATTGCAGAAGTCGGGGCAAGACTGGTTTTATGAATTCCTTTTATTAACCAGTGATTTTTCTAATATATGAATATATTATTTGCAGACAACTGAGTTTTTAAAGCTTAGTTAAGACTAAAAGTTTTACGGAATTTTCATGAACTAATTGCGATTAACAATATATGGGAAGAGTAGTAGTCAGGACTAGGAAGAAAGTCGACTATTTTCCTTGCAATTACATGTCTATCTTTTAAACTATTATACAGTGTTTTTAACATTGCTATCACGCTGTCGTCTAATCCTTATCACACAACTTCGGCGTGAGATGTTTTTGTTTGTATACAATTTCTGGAAAGTTGCTTGTGTTCAATTACTTAGCAGCCTCTCTGTGTAATAAAACTATTTACATCTAACAGTCTTTTTTTTTGCATTCATTTAATCAAACTTTTCATGCCTGTTCAACGTCGGCCTTACAGACGAGTGAAGTGCGTGCAAGTTGAAACTCTAACCTATTTTAATCTCGACCTCGGGCACGTAGCTAATAAGTGGCACTCTAATATTACGCAGTCGAAGTAATTTAAACTTTGTTAACTTCAAACTTGTGTAGACCCAAGATTGCGCTTTGTGGGTGTGCTTTTGGAGCGGTTTCCCTTCTTAAGTTACCCTTAAATTACAGCGTCCATTCTAAACTTAAGTCGCTAATATTAATAAGAATACATACTTGTATATCATTATGTATATTGGTTTAAAAAATTCCTCCTTATTGATAATATTTTGCTTATTGGTCTTGTTTGCAGTGTGTCTTTATACATGACTGTTTCGGTCATGTTACTAGATTCTAGTCAGTAAATGTGGTGTAACATGACTTAAAGTTGCTGTAGAAGTGGTGCAACATGACATAGTTCTAGTAGAAGTGGTGCAACATGACATAGTTGTAGTAGAAGTGGTGTAACATGACATAGTTGCTGTAGAAGTGGTGTAACATGACCTAAAGTTGCTGTAGAAGTGGTGTAACATGACCTAAAGTTGCTGTAGAAGTGGTGCAACATGACATAGTTGTAGTAGAAGTGGTGTAACATGACATAGTTGTAGTAGAAGTGGTGTAACATGACATAGTTCTAGTAGAAGTGGTGTAACATGACTTAAAGTTGCTGTAGAAGTGGTGTAACATGGCATAGTTGCTGTAGAAGTGGTGTAACATGACCTAAAGTTGCTGTAGAAGTGGTGTAACATGACTTAAAGTTGCTGTAGAAGTGGTGTAACATGACATAGTTGCTGTAGAAGTGGTGTAACATGACTTAAAGTTGCTGTAGAAGTGGTGTAACATGGCATAGTTGCTGTAGAAGTGGTGTAACATGACTTAAAGTTGCTGTAGAAGTGGTGTAACATGACATAGTTGCTGTAGAAGTGGTGTAACATGACCTAAAGTTGCTCTAGAAGTAGTGTAACATGACCTAAAGTTGCTGTAGAAATGGTGTAACATGACATAGTTGTAGTAGAAGTGGTGTAACATGACATAATTGCTGTAGAAGTGGTGTAACATGACATAATTGCTGTAGAAGTGGTGTAACATGACTTAAAGTTGCTGTAGAAGTGGTGTAACATGGCATAGTTGCTGTAGAAGTGGTGTAACATGACTTAAAGTTGCTGTAGAAGTGGTGTAACATGGCATAGTTGCTGTAGAAGTGGTGTAACATGACTTAAAGTTGCTGTAGAAGTGGTGTAACATGACATAGTTGCTCTAGAAGTGGTGTAACATAAAGTTACAGAGAAGTAAACGTTCCTAGTGAACCTAGATGTTTGTGTAACATAAATCTCATTAAATGCAGGATGTACCATTTTGTGTCTTCGTTTGAAATATGTTTATTCCTTCTTTGTGAAAACTTATATTGTGACGCTGAGTGTTGCAACAGGCTGAAATATACGATAACCCAATATGATGTAATACACTTGTAGTGAATGGTATAAAAAAAGCTGGTATTTTCAGGGTTTTATAGGTGTATGAGTCAGAACCTACTTCAACGTCTTGTAAAGAGCTTAGAAGTGTCAACCTTGAAGGTAATAGAATGAAGTTGGCCAGCTGTGGGTTGTGTTTGAAAATGGTTACCTGAAAACTGCGTTATCGCTGTTTTGGGTGTAAGATGTTTCTAATGTGGCTAAAGAAAACATTGTCAGTGTTTCGAGTGTTGTACTGACGATAAACTGCACGTTTAAACTTAGGCTTTTTAAAAGTTTATTCTTTTATGTGCTGATTGTAGGAGAGGCGTGAGATAAAGATGTAAACTGAACGTGTTTACATGTTGTTCACAGTTAAGGTGTGATTTTTTCAAGTTCATTATTTTATGTGCTGATTGTAGGAGAGGCATGAGATATGATGTAAGCTGAACGTGATTACATGTTCACAGTTAAGGTGTGATTTTTCAAGTTCATTATTTTATGTGCTGATTGTAGGAGAGGCGTGAGATAAAGATGTAAACTGAACGTGTTTACATGTTGTTCATAGTTAAGGTGTGATTTTTCAAGTTCATTATTTTATGTGCTGATTGTAGGAGAGGCGTGAGATAAAGATGTAAACTGAACATGTTCACAGTTTAGGTGTGATTTTTCAAGTTCATTATTTTATGTGCTGATTGTAGGAGAGGCGTGAGATAAAGATGTAAACTGAATGTGTTAAAGTGTTTATTCAAGTTAATTATGCAGTGTGCTGTTTGTAGGAGAGGCACGAGATAAAGGGGTGAACTGAATATCTTGACATGTTATACACAACTGCCCCCAGACAATTCCCCCCCCCTGGACAACTGTCCCCCTTAGCCATATCTTCTTGGATTAATATAACTGACTATAACAGGAAAAATAACACACATTTGTTATATTTTATAGAAGAACAAATTATGTAAAACTGTTACGTTATATAACTTTACGTAACTCAACATTTTTATTTTATTACAATAAACAAAACCTAACACGAAACCGGTGTTATTTTATCCTACTTAAACAGTTTTAAATAATTCACTCTTCTATGAAATACAAGAAACCGGTGTTATTTTCTCCTGCTTAAACAGTTTTAAATAATTCACTCTTCTATGAAATACAAGAAACCGGTGTTATTTTCTCCTACTTAAACAGTTTTAAATAATTCACTTTTCTATGAAATACAAGAAATATGTTTGTTTTTCCTATTTTAGTCAGTTATATAAATATAATAAGATGCGGGGGAAGTTGTCAGGGGGGCTGTACACAGGTAGGGATTGGCGTATCTTGAAGATATCCAACTTTAGATATTTTGTTGGTTGTTTCGTATGTGTGAAATGTATTATGTATCTTTAAAGTGTATATATAGAGCTTATTATTAAGACGGAGTTGCCTTTTTTTAGAATACGTTCAAAGTGTGAAAATGTAATATTTTCATATATTTTGCAAACGTTAATGTATAAATATATATTATTTTTAGTGTCCGGGAATTGTCATGAAGCAACGTAGACACAAATTTGAAATTTTATGACTGCCCCCTTCTCCCTCTGTTGCCGTTACTAAGGAAACCAGACCATCCCAGTAAAGCGCACATCATTGTAGAACGTCATCCGTCCAAGTCCTTGTAAAGAACAGGCTCCCTCAGTTATTCTTCAGTTTCAAATACGGGTTACAATCGTGGCAACCAAGGTACTTGCAGTTTTTGTAGAACTGTTTTCGCTCGTTGTCCCAAGAAATTCGAGTAACTAACTAACAAAAAGTGTGTACTGCTTGCTACCCGTTGTAGTTTCATTTATAATCAGAACATTTATGTCAGACTTTACATTTAAAGTTTATACGGTATTCTAGTAGATTTAAAAAAATATATATATATAGTTAAGAGATAATATATAGACATAGGAGATGGCCGATCATTCGGAGCTAATGGCGGAGATGGCACTTGTTGAGAAGATGAGCACACAAGAGAGGCTAAAGCACGCCCGCAAGCGACGACTTCAACAGATGAAGAAATGGAGCCAAAGGGAGAAAGAGTACAGCAGCAAGAGGAAGAAAACTGAACAAAACCTGAACCGGAAAACTAAGAAGAACGACTACAAGATTCATTTTGTTCCGAGTGTTATGCTTCTAGAAGCTGCTGCAAGAAATGACATTGAAGAAGGTATGTATTGGTACTTAACTAAGGATTTACTTAGCTCTGTACATCTTGTATTGGTACTTAACTAAGGATTTACTTAGCTCTGTACATCTTGTATTTGGTACTTAACTAAGGATTTACTTAGCTCTGTACATCTTGTATTGGTACTTAACTAAGGATTTACTTAGCTCTGTACATCTTGTATTGGTACTTAACTAAAACTGACGATTTACTTAGCTTCATACGTCTTGTATTGGTACTTAACTAAGGATTTACTTAGCTCTGTACATCTTGTATTGGTACTTAACTAAAAACTGACGATTTACTTAGCTTCATACGTCTTGTATTTGGTACTTAGCTAAAACTGAGGATTTACTTAGCTCGTACATCTTGTATTTGGTACTTAGCTAAAAACTGACGATTTACTTAGCTTCATACG